CTCAGTCACTACAGGAAACTGCAGACGGATGTTCTGGTGAATGGTCAATAGCTCACACACCAAAGACTCCCGTTCCATCCGGACCACACAGCCTGCTCATTTCTCCACAGCAGCCAGGTCCCTGCTGGCAGCTTCAGCTTGTAGTACTAAGAGGGAGAGCATTTTCTGGAGTCTGACTTATATATCCTCCCTCAGCATTCACCTCTCCTCCTTCAGCCAGTTGGAACCTGTAGTTCCCAGCAGCAACAGTTCCTGACAAATCTCTGCCATCCGGACTAATGTCCCACAATCCCCTGCTCTTGATGGGAACGTCTGGCGGTGGCACAGATAAGTTGACTAGCACTGGGCTACAGATAGAAGACTCAATATGCAACATGTCACATGAATTTAGATTTAGGTAACCAAAAGGAATTACTAGGTAGCTTTTTTTAACCCAGCGATTAGTTAGAGTTGACGTAAGGGGTAGAAAGGGTACATTCCTAGAGACCAGCTTTAAACTGGAATATCAGTAAGCAACCAGTGATGTAAGGTAAAAATGCTGTGCAAGCTTCTGTGGAACAACATTTTTTGCTAGACACAAAGTCCTGGTTGCTTGTTTACTCTGGCCAAAGATCACAAGCCCAAAAACTGTTAACCAATGGTATCAGTGCTAGGAAACTTTAAAGGCTAGATAGTTGAAAGCAGTTAAACTTGATCTGGTGGTGCCCCTTGCAATCAGGGGAAAAAGAGATGAGAAATATGACATTCTAAAGATGTCACAGTAACCGGGGATAAAAGGAAATCTTTCAATGGAGATGCCCATTATGGCTTCTGGAGACATATGTCTAAGGGAGGATTTTCACTCATATTGGAGAGTTCCTCTCATATCCTGTTTTACCCCCAGGATAGCATATGAAGGGAAATCATGCCAATGAGACACAAAAACACTAAGATTTAAAGTAGAACTACAGTAAATACAAAATGTTTTAAAATATGGATAGAGTAAGCTGAGGCTATAACCTTTTTCAGGTTTTTTGCCCATTTATGTGCCAGTGGGGAGATTTCCTTTCATTTCCTGTTCCAAAGTAAGGGAATCCCTGGTTCCTACCAGGGTCAACAACTGGAAAATTTCCCTTCTATTCCTGTTCTGGTGACAAATTGTAGGATTTTATTTAATTTTCACCCTCAGTGAACTGTAAACAGTTCTTCCTAACGGGGAAACAGAGAGCAGGACAAATTCAATGTGTTCCAATCCCTCTCCACTCTATCCAAAACTAAAGGAAAATGTTTTTCTTCTTTAGTTATACTTTAAACCATTCCCTATCTTTTCTAGTAGTAGTTATATTCACATTCAAGTGAACGTGTTCTGTTGAAGACATTTCGTAGCTTATCCAGGCCATTTCTTCATTTCTGAACAGATAAACTAAAGAAGTGGCCTGGATAAGCTATGAAACATCTTCAACATTACAGAACACGTCCAGCTAAATGTGAACCACTATTAGATAAACTGTGACCTGTTAAGTTGGCTCTGAGGAAGAGGTTGTGTCCTTGAAACGCGTTAGCAAGTTGGTCATCCAGGGTTCCATCGTATGGACTCAGATGTTGTTTTGGATCATACACCTTGTTCAGTTTGACATGCCTGTGTTATTATGTCCATTGTGAGTATGATACCTATTTTTGTTTCTTTAATAAATTATTTTAAACGATAATGCACTAGGTCGGTGCACCCTTTTTCTGTTTCTCCATTTGTATCCAGTGTATTCGGACCACCCCGGTCTGTTGAGGGCAGCAAGCAGTGCATATTCCAGAAAATTCCAGAACATTCCTATTGGGTCTACTGAGTCCTTTCCTAGCACAGGAGTAAAGTGTTTGTTGTGTTGGATAAACAAGTGTGGCTTAGGTATACGCGTGACAAATAATTAGAAGATTGGTCCAGATATAAATTTTAATTGTTATAATAATTGGGTCTATTAAGAGTTTGTAGGCAGGTGCTGTTAGCTACTTTGCCACTAGGTGGCTCTATACCAGAATAGTGTCTGGTTACAGCAGAAAGTGTAATCAGGTGCTTGGGTCCTTTTGGGTAGAGCTCTCCTGCAGTGATGTCATGGGTGACGCAGTATCCACTTATGAGCCAGGTTGGGAGGAAGCCTTACACACTTTGGGCATAGGAGCCAAACACCCCTCACCAACACGGATGTATTGCGCACATGTAGGCCCTGGACAGGGCTGGAGGCCAGGAAGGAGTAGACTTTTTTGTCCCTTTTGGAGGTGGGGGCCAGGGAGGATTGCAAAAGACATTGTAGGCCAGGTCAAGAGTTCCTAAGTGAGGATGCTTATCTGGATGGGGGAGGGGGGGTCCCGGGAGAGGTGTAGCTATGGTAGAGGTGACTACCAAGAGCACAGTCCTGTGAGTACAATGACACCAGGTGGAAGGGGAGAATGTTAAAGCTAGATGGCTGACAAAAGTGCTGCGTATGCTTTCACATGTGACTACTGTGGACCATCCACTAAATGTGATTATGTATTGTCAAGTGACTCCAGAATGTATGTCAATGTCATTTGACAGTTATTCCCTAAGTTCCATCAGAAAAGTCCACCAAATCTTTCCTTGGGATATAAAGGCCAATGGCTGGGAATATTGTGAAGAAGCCTTGAAAGAGGTACCATATGGTGGATGGTTTGCCTCAGCAGGAGGAACAGTGTTCTAGCTGGTCTTGTGCTCTTGGTGCCAATTCTTTGCAAATAGCAAAGCCCCTCTTACAAATTGACAACCTACAGTTAAGTGCTATCATCTTTCCACTCCATACAAGTTGATTCTCCTAGGGTTCCTGTTAAGGCTCCATCAATCAGTAGAGAGCTGCCAAACTATAGCAATTATTTTATTTATTCAAAACATCTCCGAAACTTGATATCCAATGTCCACCTCCCTAATTCCAGAATTACAGATGATGTAGCAGTTGTAGGATTTGGTGCAAGACAAAAAAGGGAGCAGAAGACCATTCCAGGCTGAGTAAGAGGACCAGAGCTAGTGTGTCATCCTAGGCAAAGGGGACTCTAGTGTTGGAAGGGAATCTGAGGATGAAGGTAATAGAGTTGAGGTGTTAAAAACAGTTAAAGAGCAAGATAAAAGATTGACAGAATGTAAATCAAAAGAAGGGCTGAATAGTTCATTTGAAGGACATGAGAAAAATAAGATATACAAACCTGAAAGTTTTTTAGAATTGAAGAAGAGAGAGCAAAAGAGATGCTGACACAAAGCCAAGCCACAACAGACCCACAGAGTTGGGGGATGCAGAAGATCTGAGAGACCAACATAGCACATCAATCTGGGGTGAGATCACTGCTTTTATTTATGAATGTGATTTACAGTGCTCAGCTTTTCACAACCTCTCCCTCAAGTAAACCCTCAATCAGCGCAAATCTGTTTACACTTCAGCAATAGAAAGTGAGATTATACTACAGTTGCATTTCAGTTTGAATATTTGGGTGAAATTATGCAGATACTTTAGCAGTTATGACAGTGAACTATGGTAAGAAGATAAAAGGAAACATTTTTTTTTCACATTGATTTCGTAAGAATGTAACACCATAAAACCAGCATATTTAACCAGGTTAGTATCTAAAAACAAATAAATACATACAAGGAAGCTGTTTTATCTGCCAATAAATGTATATTTCTCTATCGCAAACAAACAACAGATTTCCCAGCAACACTAACCAGCCAGTCTGCAAAACAATCAATTTGGCCCTGTCTAGTGGTTTGCATTAAACAGAGGGTTTTGTTTGCAAACATTTGCAGATACATGCATAAGCTACAGTCCCACATCAAGGGTCCTCTGTATATACTTCCGCATGTACTTGCAAATGTGTGCAAACAAAACCCTCTGTTTTAACACAAACTAATAGACAGGGACAAATTGGTTGTTTTGCAGGCTGGCTGGTAAGTGTTGCTGGGAAATCCTTTGTTTGTTTGTGATGTGCTTTGCCCTTCCATGTGTACCTTACTGCTAAGGCTGGTTATAGGTTGGGACTGTTGCCATTTTTTGTGTAGTTGGCATATTTCTGTATATCCAGACCTGAGCTGTACACAACTCCCTCACACAGCACAGTCCTCTCTTGCAAGAGACCTGATTTTTCTCTGCTTAAAAGATCAGTAACATTTACAGGACTTGTCCATCCGGTGACTGGACAGTGAAAGAAGAAGCAGCAAAATGATGAGCTCATTGCCCTGTCACTCTGTTTGCCTCCTGTTAACACATGAGCACTGCAGCACAATTGATAGTCTCCTTGTGCAATTTCTCCCTCTTCTGAGCTCTGCTGTGCAGGGAATTTCAAGAAACTGACACCAAGTCATTTGTTTAATGATATATTTATGAATGCAGAGCTGGAATAATGTGTGTCTTTTATATCTACCTGGAGTTTAGCCTTAAAGCCTTGAACATGCTGTGGTGGATGCAGAAAAGCATATAAGATTGTGTGTTTAACCACTAGCCTACAGGGCACTTACAGTATACCCCCTTCCTGCCCAGGCCAATTTCCAGCTTTCAGCGCTGTTGCACTTTGAATGACAATTGCACGGTCATGCAACACTGTACCCATATGAAATTTTTATCATTTTTTTTTGTGACAGATAGAGCTTTATTTTGGTGGTATTTAATCACCTCTGGGTTTTTTATTTTTCTTAAAAAAAGCAAAACCGCTGAAAATTTTGAAAAAAAAACTTTTTTTCTTAGTTTTTGTGTTATAAAATTTTGAAAATAAGTGATTTTTCCCCTTCACTGATATGCACTAATGAGGCTGCAGTGATGGGCACTGATAGGCTGCACTGATGGACACTGATAGGTGGCACTGATGGGGAGGCACTAGTAGGTGGGTGGCACTGATGGGCATTGACAGGCATCACTGATGGGCACTGAAAGGCAGCACTCATATATGGCACTGATAGGCAGCACTGATAGGTGGCACTGATAGGCGGCACTGACTGGCACTGATAGGCGGCACTGACTGGCACTGTTAGGCAGCCCTGATGTGCACTGATAGGCAGCACTGATGCACACTGATAGGTGGCACGGATTGGCAGCACTGATAGGTGGCACTGACTGCTATTGATAGACGGCACTGACTGGCACTGATGGGTGACACCGAAAGGCAGCTCAGATGGGCACTGATATGTGGTATTGACGTGCACTGGTAGGCACTGAAATGTGGCACTGACAGCTGGCACTGATTGGACTGGCAGGTGGCACTGCTGGGGCTACACAGATCATCAGGGCACACTGATCATCAGTGCCCTGATGATCTGTGTGCATGTCCCCTCTGAAGGATGCCGATTATCGGCTCTCCTCTCGAGCTGTCAGCGTGACAGCTCGTGAGGAGAGAAATGCTGTTAACCGGGATTTCCCTATTTACATGTAATCAGCTGTGATTGGACACAGCTGATCACATGACCGAGATGACATCTGCGGCTCTTTCCATTGATCGGTGATCCGCTGTGTCCAAGGGACCCAGCGCACCGCCGATTGCCGCGCTGCGCGCTCCCCGAGCCACGCATGCATGGTTAGAATGGGAGGATGTCATATGACGTCCTCCCAGAACGAGAGAACCGCCTTGCACCCGTCATTGTACTATATGGTGGTTAAACTATTCTCCCTAAAAAATAACTGGCAGCTATGAATGAAGGTAAAATACCTTCTGTGTGCAGCAGCTCCCCCAGCCCCCTCAATACTTACCTGAGCCTCATCATGATCCAGCAATGTGAATAACAGTCTCGGCTGTCCTGGGTCTCTGTCTCCTCATTGGCTGAGACAGCAAATGGGAGCTATTGGCTCCCGCTGCTGTCAATCACAGCCAGTCAGCCAATGATGAGAGAGAGGGGATGGGGGCCAAGCCGCGGCTCCATGTGTGAATGGACACACGGAGCAGTGGGTGTCTCCATAGCAAGTTGCTTGCTGCGCGGACAGACAGACAGGATGAGCCAGGAGAGCCTGCGGGGAACCCGAGAAGAGGAGGATCCAGGCTGCTCTGTGCAAAACCAATGCACACAGTAGGTAAGTATAGACATGTTTGTTATTTTAAAAAAAAAATGAACTGCTTGGAATGCCCATACTGGAAATGAGCTTTCAACTCTTTGCACATGGGCCATCTATGTGCAGTGCATCCCACCTGGCGTTTTAGTGCACCTGCAAGGGACAGGTGCAGCGTCCAATCCCGCTGCCTGGAGCTTGCCAAAGTCTATTGCAGGCTGTGGCTGAATGAAGCTGAACACTGTACTGAGTGTTACCACAATGTAGGGCCCTGTGAGTTCAGGAATGAAGGCCCAGTATGTAGGTGCCCAAACAGGGGCCCAAAAAGTGAGCACCACTCAGTGCACTGTTCAACCCCATTCAACTGCACCCATTCATAGCATTTGACAGGCTGCAGACAGTGGGGCTGGATGCTTTACCCAGGTGTACTAAAGCACTGGGAGGGAAGCACTGTATCTAGATGGCCCCGTGTGCAAAGGGCCTAAAAGGGTTATAAAAAATTCAGTGGTGTAGCTCAATTCTTTCATTCAGGCTTGGAAACATTGGTAGTTAAGTGGTGTACCCTAATCATTTGTTCAGACCTTGAAACATTGATGTTTTTATAGTGTGGCCCAATTCTGTTATTTATACCTTGGAAAGCTGGTGGTTCTGTCAGTGTAGACCAGCAATGGGCAAACTACGGCCCGCGGGCCGTATACGGCCCGGCGGACCTTTTAATCCGGCCCGCGGAGCGTGGCAAACATCGGCTGTCAGAATGTGTGTAGGCGGGGCAGCGTGAGGAACGTGAGGGGAGCTAGGCTCCTCTCACAGTCCGCCCTGAAGACTGGAACGGCGCGGGAACACGGTGAGAGGAACTCGCGGAGCAAAGGTAAGTGAATTGACACAGGGGGACTTGGGGACTTAATATGGGGGATGAATTAATATGGGGGATGAATTACTATAGGGGGGATGAATTACTATATGGGGGATGAATTACTATGGGGGATGAATTACTATATGGGGGATGAATTAATATGGGGAATGAATTACTATAGGGGGGATGAATTACTATGGGGGGTGAATTACTATATGGGGGATGAATTACTATATGGGGGATGAATTACTATATGGGGGATGAATTACTATATGGGGGATGAATTACTATGGGGGATGAATTACTATATGGGGGATGAATTACTATGGGGGATGAATTACTATATGGGGGATGAATTACTATATGGGGGATGAATTACTATGGGGGATGAATTACTATGGGGGATGAATTACTATATGGGGGATGAATTACTATATAGGGGATGAATTACTATGGGGGATGAATTACTATATGGGGGATGAATTACTATATGGGGGATGAATTACTATATGGGGGATGAATTACTATGGGGGATGAATTACTATATGGGGGATGAATTACTATGGGGGATGAATTACTATATGGGGGATGAATTACTATGGGGGATGAATTACTATATGGGGGATGAATTACTATATGGGGGATTAATTACTATTCTTACTATGGGGGAATATTACTATACTTACTATGGATGACACATACACGTCATTCATCTACTCTTGGTCCGGCCCCCGGGTCCAATATATGAACCCATTGCGGCCCTCAAGTCAAAAAGTTTGCCCACCCCTGGTGTAGACCAATTCCTCATTTAGACCTGGGAACATTAGTGGTTTAGAGGTGTAGCCTAATAAATTCATTTACACCCGGAAACATTGGTTGTTCCATGGTTTTGTCCAATACCCATGTTCAGACCTGGAAACATTGGTAGTGTAGGGGTGTAAGCCAATCACTCCATTTAAACCTGAGAACATTGGTGGTTTAGTGGTGTAGTCCAATTCTGTATTTCGACCTGGAAATATTGGTGATTTGGTGGTTAAGTCCAATCACCCCATTCAGACGTGGGAAAGTTTGAAGATTAGTGGTGTAGCCCAATCCCTATACTTAAACCTGGGAACATAGGTGGCTTAGAGCTGTAGGCTAAATTCTCCCCACTTACTGTACATTCAAACCTGGGAACATTGGTGGATCAGTGGTAGTCAGACCTCATATGCTGCAGTGACCTACTAAGAGTACAAATAAAGTGCTTAAGGCGTTCCTGCCATATGATGTCACTTCTACTCCAGTCCCAACATGTCATTGTGGTATCAAGTCTGAGAACTGGGATATTCTGCACATTTACCGTAAATACACCACACTGCCCCTACCCCCTTTTGAGACATGATGGATCGGCATCTGACATCAAGCCTTGGTCATTTATTTGCCCTATGTATCGAGTAACAATTGTGTTTAGTTTTATCTGATATACAGTATACAGAGTTAATTCAAACGTGTTTGTATAAGTTAACACATTTTGTTAGGTGGGTTAATGTGCAATTCATTATGGCAGACTACTCACATTGAATGGCCTGCTTAACAAGCCTCAACACCATAGGGGCTGATTTACTGAAACAGTTTTTTTTTTCTTACAGCTTAATTGAAGAAGTTGAAGTTAGAAGCTGATTGGCTTCCATGTTAGTAAATCGACCCCATAGTGTACCACAATGCATGTGTACTCACATCAGTGTAATGTGACTTGCTACAGGGGCTGGTGTATTTGTTTATAATATGTATGTGCACTGGCAGGCCTTTAAAGCGTTAGTAAAGTCTGCTATAGTTTCTTCTTTTTTAGGGGCCCCCAGTTGGGTTATGCCATGATGTGCTAGTATGCACAGCATATTAGCAGATTATGGCACACTTACCTACCAAATCAAGCCCTCCAGCTCTGCGTTGTAAACGATCCAGTGGGTTGCGGGTGCTTCCAGCTTCACCCGGTCTTCCTTCTTGGTTTTGTGCCTTTGGCCACAATGATGCCACTCTCACACATGCACATGGGAGTCACAAAGCAGCGGCACAGATCAGGGCCGTAAATGTACGCATGCGCGGCTCAGTGTACAAGACAACTGACAGGCAAGAGGGGGCATGTATGACAGACGAGACCTATAGGGTCTCTCCTGTCACAAATATTCTGTGTGTCAGCAATTTTTTAAAAACAACAAATTTAAGAATGAACAATAATGCATATACACCATGCATTTTTGTCCAGCATATTAACACGCCTGAAAATGTGCCACTTCACACATGTTTTTATAACAGTTTTTATTTTTCACACATGTACATCACACGATTGCTTTTCTATTTTTACATATTTTTACCTTTTTCAGAATAAAGCTCAATTTTAGGGACCGCGTCCCCCCTTTTTTTTTCTTTCCCATTCATACTATTTATATACAGTACTATCTTTTATTTTTATTTTTTTTCATTTTAATACTTTTTAGATTTTTTCTTTCTTTCTTTCTCTTTCTCTCTCACTTTTTTCTCTTCTCTTGTATTTCAGCATTACTATTCAGTTTCTCTTGTTGTCTTCCTGTTTTCCAATCAGTTTATCATCACACATACACACCTGATTCTTTTTTCATGGCCAATGATGCCTATATATTTCCTGGCTTCTCACTACCTCTTTGACCAAGCCCCAGTGGGCAGGGTGAAACACATTAGAGGGCATGGCCAGAATGGCGGTTGAGGCCATTCCTCAATATTGGACTCCTGGGGTCGGTTGAAAAGTGTCCATCCCTTCACTTGCCTCTTCACACATGTTAATATACAGTACATGGAGTAGTGTGCATAGGTGTTGCTGGCAAGGACACGTCATAATAAACCTGTGAACAATTGTCCCATACAATAGTATGCTGTAAATTTATGACTATATAGTGAAGGTATACATTTGCCACTTCTCTGCTCCTCATATTATTATTTCTTGTTGCTTCAATCTTTACAAAAATGGTAACAATGTTCTGTACATTAAATGCTTATAAGAAAAATCTGGCTAAGTAGTAAGAAATCTGGCCAGATTTCCATTTATTTGCACAATTCTTTGGCAGACCTTTTTTGCCCTTTTGTACAAAACTAAGAAAACTCTACTTACATTTTTAAACTGGCTAGTTTCTGCGAGAAGCTAAATTGAAAAAATAAAATATACAGTGGTAATCATAATTCTCACTACATTAACATCCTCGCTGGCCAAGTCTCAGAATAGATTGGTTCAGCTGCAAAACTATATAAATTATGGGAGAATCAAGTATGGTATCCCCAAGATTGGGACTTTTGCATGACTTTGAGTTAAAGAAAGATTGAGCCTTGACTGCACAACATACCAAACTCATAAATCTTGTGTTTTGAAAATAATATCAGTTATACGAGGTATATCATATAATGTTTTTTATTTTTTTTATTTACATGGGCTAATAAACATGTAGAATAAAAAATACAGATGTGGCATGTTGGACGCAGTTAACTATTTTAGATCCAAGAAGGCAATATCATAATAGAATGTGGCTATAATATGAATTTATTCAAGATATTTACAAGTTTTGACAAATTGTTACAATATGTTGAAACTGTATAGGGA